TTACTAATCTTCTGCAGATTACTCAACGAAATTCCTTCATCTCTACAATAATCTCGAACAGATTTATGAACTCCTTGCACGGTGGCCTTTGGTACATAAATGTTTAAAGTTGTTTCGGCAAAGAAAGTGTTAAATATTCTAGTTATATCCTGAGGGTTACATATACCTTTATCGTTATTAATTTAAAAAAAATTTGCCATCAGTTTTGTTTTTTACGTGACCAAGTTTTTATTAACAACTTGCCAAGCAGCTTTAGACTTATTTTCAGACTTTGCTATGTATTCGCCATTTGAAATTATTTTTCCCAACAGTCACCTGACAAAGTTGGCTTCCTTGCACTGTTTATAGTACAGAAAGCTGCTAATTGCTGCATTTACTTACTTTGTCGCACGGTTTATACTTTGTCGTACGGTTTATACTTTGGCGCACATCAGGATTCCAACCAAACAACACAAAACAGCCTGGTTTTATTATGCACGTAATAAAGATTGTAATAAGATTGTTGTAAGTTACTGCTGTGTACACTTGGAAATAGGTTGGCAACACTTAAAGATGATAATACTATGATCAGCTGATTGACTATTATAACCACCATTAAAACTGCCATTTTGTGTTTATAGTTTATATTATATTTTCGTTCAACGCTTGGTTTGAACATAACCTGAAGTGTAGTATTTGACATATGAATTATAAGTGGGCCTAACATGTTTAAAAATAATGAACTCGGTGAAAGTGATTGTGAATATAATGGTAGACCAGAAATAGCAGAAACTGAAAACATGTTTCATTAAAATTAAACCTGTTACCTGAAAAATCAAGAAAGAAGTATGTACAAGCATACAAACTGTTTTCCTCTTGGTGCGTAAGTAAGAAAGTTACAAAACTGTCAGAAAATGTTTTATTGGCATATTTTGAAGAACAATCTACTTGTTTATTATTTGTTTATACTGATTATTACTGTTTATACCTGTACTCTTGAAAATAAGTAACACGTAAAGATACTACGACTACAATCAGCTGGTGCAGTATTTCCCATTCCATTCATGGCTTGGGTTTAACCTAACCTAAAAAACATGTTGTATAGTGTTTGAAAGACTAATTATTTATATGCTTTATAGTGACTGTAGGAAAAATATAATGTGTAACACGGGTGCAAAAGGCCTTTGCTGCACTCGAGATCATTCCGCACGAGCCGCGGCTCATTTCTCTCATGTAAACATTTCTCTCGTGTGCAGCAAAGTGCCACTTTGCTCACTAGTTACACAAATAACTATTGCCTTCTTAACTACTTTTTTAAAGATTTTTGTAAGTAAGTACTGTTTAATATAGGCTACATTAAAAACTGTCTATCTTTATTATACTTAGCTTGCAAGTGGAGTTCTCTATTCCTCACACTATACAGGGTGTTTTTTTTTTAATTTGCATCTTTATTTATGTAAAAACCGCAATAGATAGAAATATGCAGTTTGCGGGAATCATCTATTGACGTAGGGGGCCCAATTACATTCCCCCCCTTTCCCCCCATCCCCCAACTTAATTTTTTTAAATAGCAAGGTACCCCTTGTGACATATCAAATAAAAGTGCATGAAAAAAGAAAATGTTTGATGAACAAAAATTGAAAATCGGTTCATAAATTTGCGAGATATATCCCTCCCCCCTCCCCGGAACTTAATTTTTTTTTAATCGCAAGGTACCCCTTGTGACATATCAAATGAAAGAGCATGAAAAAAGAAAATTTTTGGTGAAATTTATGTTTCATTTGATACGTCACAAGGGGGGGTACCTTGCTATTTAAAAAAAAGTTATGGGTAGGGGAAAAGGGGGGGATTATCTCACAAATTCATGAGCCGATTTAAAATTTTTTTTTTGCCAAACATTTTCTTTTTTCATGCACTTTTATTTGATATGTCACAAGGGGTACCTTGCTATTAAAAAAAAATTAAGTTCCGGGTGGGGAGGGGGGAATATCTCACAAGTTTATGAACCGATTTTCAATTTTTTTTCATCAAACATTTTCTTTTTTCATGCTCTTCCATTTGATATGTTACAAGGGGTACCTTGCTATTTAAAAAAAATAAGTTGGGGGCAGGGGGGGAAAGGGGGGGAATGTGAATGTAACATTGAATTCAAAAAAATTGTGCCCCCTACGTCAATAGATGATTCCCGCAAACTGAATATTTCTATCTATTGCGGTTTTTACATAAATAAAGATGCAAGTTAAAAAAAAAACACCCTGTATATTTTAATCCCTTGTGTCACCCAATTGAAAACTGTCGGCTTACATTTACGAGTTTTTTTTTAAGTTTTTGAATGTGATTGAACGGTAGTAGGAATTGGTGCAGAAAGTGGTGGAATAGTTTACACTCGGGCTCACGCTTGGATCAAAATTTAAATTGCAATTACTTTTTTACTAAAAGGTGCCGAATTATTTACAGCAGTCTTACAGTTAGTTGGCTTAGGGAGATTTAAGAAAATAGCATTATGGTCTGACATACATAAATTAGTATTTAGTTTAAAGTTTACCTCATATTTCTTTTGCGTAATTATATTATCTAAACAAGTTTCGGCATTGTGATTTGGGTCTATCCTTGTGGGCTCCTCAAACTGCAGCAAAAACCCACTACACTCAACCACTTCTCTAAATCTACAAGATATTGGATTGTTTTCCAAAATGTTAATATTAAAATCACAGATAATGAAAACAGACTTATTTTTACTCTTTTTTGTAGAAGCAAAAGCAGCTTTTTGAATTTGGCCAGAAACAATTTATTGATTTTGTAGGTAGGAACTGTATAGACTGATTTAAAAATTAAATCGAAATCTGGGAGTTCAACTGCTGAACCTTCAAATATAAAATCTTCATTCAAATTAGAGAACTCATTTTCATTTACAATGTTTATTAATTTACATGTCTGCAAATATTTCACGATAAGAAAATTCACGCTTTTGCTGCAATCATAGAGTACAATATTATGATTTCCCATGACCGCGGGAAAAGAAGATAATGTCTAAAAGACAATGGAAGATGTTCAAGATGTCACACGATCGCGAAACAAAGATTAATTTCCATGACCTCAGGAGATGATAATTTCTGCATGAGCGCAAGAGATATTCAAGATTTGGCTGCTGGAAAACCAAGACGATGTTTCTGTGACCATGGGAGACAATGATGATGTTTAAACGACCCTGGGGTATATTTTACATTTTACTGTGGCAATTTAAATAGTTGGAGTTTGGATAGTTGTTGGAGTTTGGATAGTTCGAGTTCTACTGTAGCTGGCTTAAACAAATCAAATTTCATATTTTTTGTCACACTCTTTTTTTAATGGATGCACTACTCTGTTTCTATGGACTCTCCACTCAAGGATTTAGTCTGGGAAACAGCTGTTTGCCGCCAGCTAAATCAAATGGGGTTTCATTACGTACTACCTTTGTACTAATGTACTGTAATGAGTTTTTACCAGACACCAACCAGCTGATTATATATGGTAATGAGTGGTTATAAACAATAACCCCGCCACAGCAAATCTGCCGACCAAGCAAATTTATATTTGTCTGAATTGATTTTCAATTAAATCTATTTAAATAACATTAAGTTTAACGAGTACCTAGGTTTGCTGCTACAAGGAAACTTATAAAGTTTGTGGTTTTTAGTAAAATATTAATAGCTAAGTATAAAATAAATAAATTTGCCAAGTTTGATCAAAATAAATCCCAAACAAGCAAACAACAACATTTTACAATATTCTCCATAAGAATAAAATGGGAATTTTAAATTAACAATTTTTTTACTTTTCTCCCTTACCAATAACCGTACAAAAAACCCTTTGATATACTAAATTATTTGTTTTTTTAAGCTCTTTAAAAGGGTCTAGAGAGAAATTGGGAAATTTTGTGTTTTAAGGGTAAAAAATGAGAAAAAAACTATTTTTACCCCATAAAACCCCCCTTAAAACCCTGTCCCCATGGTCCAATCATGCTGGTTCGCAAACTCATTTAAGTTTATCCCGCCTTACACCTTAAAACAAAATTTCAACAAAATCAGACCAAAATTACTCGAGTTATCGCGTTCACGGACACATATATAATCGGTCCTAGACCTAGGTATTACAGTCTCACCTACAGTAATAGCTACTTCCCTATAGGGAAATTCGCTAAAAACATATTTTGTTAAATGAGTAGTGATTGTTATTCCTTGGAGTAGGAATATATTTGGATTCGTACAGATATTTTGATTGTTAAGTTAGCTTAGAGTATTATGACGTAAAATATCGTAAGTCACTCGTCCAAAATGTGTTTACTGGACTAGTATTGTAATCCCACATTCGACTTTGTCTCGCGCGGGAACGACCACACTCCTCCGGTAAACGCGTATTTTCAGGACTAGTAACATAATATACTATTGCACAACATGTGAAAGGATTATTTAGTTTAACATTATGGACATTCATTATACAATATGACAAAAGTGAGATTGTATAGCCATTGATTTGACAATCACTGATAGCGACTGAGCCTACGCACAGGCTTCCAGCCCATGTAGGCTTATTTCCTTAATGTATATGTAACATAGCTTCTCTGAGACCTTACATCCTTTGTTGTTATTATTAAGTTTACATGTGTTTTTATATTTAATTATTTTTATCCACGCAATAGCAATCTGTTTCACTGGAAGTTATGTTTATAATTTATATTCTGCAATATTTTTGGAAATAAAGTATGTTTTGATTTGATTTGATTTGAATTTAGGCTCTGTCTTATTGTTTTTAAAATTAAGCTTAAGAAAATTGTTTCATTGCTAGATTTGTGTAGGAACAGTAGAAAAGTTATAATGTTTACAAAATGAATTGAATTTGTTGATAGTTTTGTTTTTTACAGTTTTGAACTACTAATGTAATATATTTTGGATGAGACCTTAAAAATATATTGGTTGTTTTTTACAAAATATTTAATAGAAATTTGTACATATTTAAGATGCTATGTTTTGAAAGTGTCAAACCTGGATGTTAATGTAGGCTCCGCTGTTAAGCAAAGCAACAGCAATCTCGTGGTATCCCTCCTTGCAGGCAATGGTCAACGCAGTACATCCATCTTTGTCCAGCGCGTTGACATTGGGTTTGAACTCCAACAGAAGGTTCACCACTTCTACATGGTTACCCATCGTGGCCACCAGCAAGGGAGTCCAGGAGTACTGTAAAACAAAACTGTTTAGCGTGGTGACTACTGACTAGTGAGCAGAGTAGCTATATATTAGCTAGTTGACACACCCAACAGTCCGGCAAACACAAGCTTGATCACTTCTACATGTTTACCCATCGTGGCCACCAGCAAGGGAGTCCAGGAGTACTGTAAAACAAAACTGTTTAGCGTGGTGACTACTGACTAGTGAGCAGAGTAGCTATATATTAGCTAGTTGACACACCCAACAGTCCGGCAAACACAAGCTTGATCACTTCTACATGTTTACCCATCGTGGCCACCAGCAAGGGAGTCTAGGAGTACTGTAAAACAAAACTGTTTAGCGTGGTGACTAGTGAGCATACCAGCTATATATAGCTAGTTGACACACCTAACAGTACAGCTACAAGCTGCAGTCCAGTTGTCAATTACATTTGACCATGAAAATGTTAAGAATTGATCATGAGGTACTAAGCTACAACTGTGACACCTATAATTAACTTAATACAAAATTTTGGAAAATAGCTACTTCCTCAAACAAAACATGAATATTTCAAATTGTAAAGCAATGGTCATTTTTTAAACAAACCCAGTTTCAGCCATGAAAAAATTGTTTATCATTAAAAAATTCTTAATGAGTAAAATATAAAGGTTTTTTTTTAACCAAATAAAAAACCTAGCTTCAAATCAAATCAAAATCTCCTTCATTCATAATGTACAAGTACAATGAATAGAGTCAGTGAATCGAGTCACTTATTGTCTATTCACAATATTTTAAATTGTAAAATTCCTCAAAGGAGCAAATTGCTTTTTCTACTAGGAATTTCTTTAGTTTAAAGTAAAATTTCCTACGATTACATTAATTTGTTATATTTTTTTGTAAAAAGTTTATATATCTAAGGCCACTGTGGATTCACTGTGTTTTTTTTTATAAAATTCTAAATTATGTCTGTTTTGTATAACATATTGTGCATTTCTGGTATTATATCTATTACTGGTAGGCCTACTTAGTTCTAACTGTAATTTTGGTAAATGGTGCTGCTTTGTATATTTTATTGTCTGGTATATAGCTTGAATATTAATAAATAAATGTCAGTACAGTAAAACGCCGATTATCCGAAAGCCGATTAACCGAATCGCCAATTATCCGAATTGGCTCCAAGCTTAATATTAAAATTAAAAAACTAAGTGCAAAATTTCGACCGACTACCGTGTGGACACAATGACGACGCCACATCGCGCGGCAGTGTAGTGCTAGCATTGACTATATAACACTACTAGATTGAAGACTATGCGGGAGGACGCGTGAAGAGGAAATTTCTACAATGTACTGTGTTGTGCACGGTGGATGCACGTAGTACTGACCCCTCTACTTAGATCGCAGCACCGTCACCACGAAGTTCATGGAACCGTCGCCTGGCGCGCTGCAGTTGCTGCCAACTGGACTGGACTGAGCTTAGCGGCGGACTAGACTAGAGTAAACTGTTGGACTAGACTCGGCGATGCGGAGTGAACGATTGCCCGCGCTCGCGATGTACTCGGCGGCGGCGGCGCAGCTGTGTGAATGTGATGTAGGTCATTGCTCCTGATGTAGTAGGCTACTGCTGCGCGCGCGATACCGCGTTTTGTTAACTCATTTGCACGTACCGTCCGTATGCTTGGTACGGTACGAGTTTATTCAGGAGGGTATAGCAAATCTTTGACAACTTATTTTTAATTTCTCCCCATATTAGTTAGTACATGGATAAAGTATTGTTTACCCCAAAATTTTCGAGTATGAGTTTTGAGTGGATATATCCACTGAATTGATGTCTGAAATCACCGAACGATTTTGAAAAAATAGTACTGTAGTATGTTGTAACCCTTTAAATTCAGAAAAAAATAGTATAACTCCAATTTCTATAAAAATTGCGGTTAAAATTCCATTATAAATTATGGTATTTCAACAAAATATCCCTTAATACAAGAAAAAATCTTAATTTCTAAAGAAAACCCCTGTTTTGATTGAATTAAGTACTCGTATGTGATAATCCTTTTTATTCTTAACAACATCTAGTGCAGCCCCATATTCCGGTAAAAACTACGGTTCAAAAGTTCTTGAAACTTATGTTATTTTCCCATAAAACAATGACTAAACCGAGAAATGAATTTTAAAAAAAATTTAATTCTGATTGAAATTCTTCTGTGATGGTCCTTATAATTCTAAAGCAAATAGTGCAAAATGTATTCATTATCAAAATTGTCATCGTAAAAATCTTTAAAATTAACAACGCTTAGTGAAGGTTAGTAATTTCTTTACTCCAAACAAATAATCGAAAGATAAATTGAATTAACAGAAAAATGATTTCTTATTTGCTTATGTACAGTACAAAGAAAACTTGTTGAGTCCAAACTGTTGTTTGGATCTCCCAGACTGTAAAAACACCCCCGCTGCATAGTCAATGCCCACAGGGACGTGACCGCGAGGATATCTCGGCTTTTGTAAGCTGGGGTACGGTGAAAGTTTATGATCCCTCGTTTATGGCCCTATGATTTAGCAAATGAAGACCCCACATCGGCAGCTACAGACAACCCAATGTATAAAAATATAAAACACCCTGGTCAAAAATTTGGTTCTGCTGTATACAAATAAATGCTTGTTAAATGCGTTAAAAGAAAATATACTCCTGCATACGCTGGGGTTCTCGTTATCTGGTTTGAAAAATAATGTGACAAATCTGCATTGCAAAATAATTCAGGCATTTTGCATTACACTTTTTACAAAGTGATGTGATACTTAAATTGAAATAGTGGTAAATGAAATTAAATAAATTGTGTAAAAATAATATTTATTACGTATAACCATGAATATAATTAGTGTAAATAGTAATGAAAAAGTATAAATAATAGCATGCACAAAGAACAAAGCACATATCTACCTATCTAGTTACTAAAAGCAAAAAAATAGTGAATCAACGATTGAATAATTTAAATCGAGAATATAGTTTATATTGTAGACAATTTTTTATATTTTAGGCACTGAGGAGGTTAGTTGAATTGGCTTATAATTTTTAAATAATTATATTAGTAATACTATGCATTTGTGTTTATTTAATGAAATTAAATGTGTTACCTAAAGTAAAATATGTGAATCATTTTTTAAATAAAGCCCATAAGTTTAATACGTATACTATAACACCTCTGAAAGATATAACTGAGACTTATAAAAAACAAAAAAAAAAACAAAAAAACAAATACAGGTTTTGCCGCGGTAAGAAAACGTAAAGTACAAATTATTAGATGTGTGTTACTAAAACTTAATAAAAAGTAAACAAATTTTACTTAATAGCGTAGTTTTTCAAAGTGCATTCATTGAGATATAGTACGATATAAGTTGTATTTGAATCTAATATTACAAGAAGTAACATTATCAACACAAGTATTGTTAATTGGCCACAATCACATAACATATATATATAAATATATGTATAGTACTGTTTTAACCCATTAAGTCACGAATAATACATGTAACAACTATAATACTAAGCCTTATCTAACGGGCCAGCTTTGAAATAAGAATTTGGTTAAGAACTCAAATAATTTTAACTTAACCTCCAAACAATATTGAAACTATTTATTATATCGCGTCACAACCAGCAAACGAACATTTACGCCCTTTCTTTTTGTAACTGTGTTCCATTGTTCAGAAAAAATGTATACAATTTTGTTAAATAAAACCTGAGAAAAAAATACCTACATTTTAGTATCCCAGTTCACAGTTAAATCAGACTCTAAAACAAAACCAAATACAGGTACTTGATGAGTTCACAAAGTACTCGATTAGGTCACTAATCACTTGATCCGGCTCCTAATTACTTGATCCCGACACTACCTACTAGGAAAGTACACAAGGTAACCTACCGACCACAAATCGCACTCGCACCAACTCTCGATTCAAGAAACTGAACTCTCGATAATAGTGTACGATAATATGTAGTAAACGGCTCGACAACTCAAACAAAACTAAACTAATGTGTCGTCGTCCCTGTCCCCTGTCACTCAATCCACCGAACTTTTTTTGTCGATACAGTCTGGTCTGCAATGTACAACCCCCAGCAAAACCCTCCAAACTTCTGTCAGTAATATTATCTGTTTGGTAAAAGAAAATACTACTAAAGTACTACAAAAGATATCGTCTTATGTTTTTTATCATAGGTGTTGATCAAACATATGTAAATATATTTAAGCGTTAACTGAAAAGTTAACATTTAACAGATGCTACTTTTCTTGTACGGCAATAACAGTTGTGTTTCAAAGGTGTCTCCAGTAACTCAAGTATATACTATAGTACTTTAATACTTTTCAATCAATAAAAAAAATAAATGTTTGTATTTTAGTCTTAAAAATGCTAATAATTATCTTATTACTAAAATATAATATGATATATTGCTGTATTGGATTTAAGAGTAAAATGAAGACGTTATGTAGTGATAATCGTGTCTGTCTAGAGGTATCAAAACATGACATAGATGAACTATTGAGTTGTATTGTTCATTGTTCAGTATGATGACTGTTAATTGTCAAACTTATTTCGGTAATATCATTGACTATATAACACTACATTTTATATATGTAGTGTTATATAGTCAATGGTAATATGTTTTATTTTCTATTTTTTACAATATTCAGGTTTTACATTTAATTCGGTAATTTACAATATTCATTCAGCTAGGACCACTTGTCATTCAGCTAGGGCTTTTAGCAGGGTAATAAAAGTTTCTCTTCTGTTAACGCTTCCCTCGCCAGTCCTTGGAAGTTTGTAATCCCAATCTTGGGTGAGCGAGGTTTCTTTTTCAAAGCGTAAAAGATTAGCATGCAAGAATGATGCAAGTGTTTTATATTTTATTGTTATACGAACAATGGTTTAAAAAATAAAGAATTGTAAACGTTGTTCTGCTGTATGTAGGTACACAGTGGAGAAGTATACATGCGAAATGTCAATTATATCTCTGAATTCACCAAACAAAGGATATTGTTTAGGTAATGAACTTCAATTATATATGAAACACACTTGTGATATAATAAATCACCATGTTGGGGGTGAAGGTCGTTTCGGTTTTTTAATAGTTTGTAATATATTCCCGCTGTTAAAAATTTCAAATAACCATTTTGGTTATTTTTTCCCATTGATTTGTGAACATTTATAAACATCTAGTATTATAAAAGGCTGTGTATTTTGAAGGCTATTTCAATTATACGTTAAGCAGTGTAAATTTGATATCACAATATCAAAATCGTCCAAAACACAGAGACTTTGTACAGTTCCCTACTGGTTTCGTAAACAAATATTCACAAGACTATTGTTACACCATTATTATTATTTGAACTTCATCAATGTTTCTTGTGTTTTGGGATACTCAACGTTTCTGGAGTTGGATCAACTCCTACCGTTTAAAGTAATAATAATTAACAATTAGTTTGCAGTATTATTTCTTAAAGTCCAAATAATAATAGTAACATGTTTTAGAACCAAATTAATTATGATATTTTCCCCACTACACAGTTTTAATAGACTTTCCACGTACGAAATTTGTCCAAGTACCGGTAAGGGTAGTTAATAAACCTAAAACGTTCATAGGTCTTCATATTGACTACATCGGTTTAACATTTTTAGCGGTTGCAAAAAATGGATGTGATATAGTGGAGACAGACTGACTCTCACCACCACGTTTTATAATACTATAGAATAGATACATATTTTTTAATGAGAAAGGACGGAGTTCTGGTCTCTGGGGACATCGAAACGAAAAAGTAAATCGATCACAGGCTGAGCCCCTATGGCGATAGTTTATTATAAATATAAAATTGGCTGATAACGGAACTAAAGGACATGTAACAGTTATATCACACTTCTAAATTAAAACTGAGGCTTACCATAGGCCTATCAAATATTTAACCCCGTTTTACAGCAGCAATGTCTCATATTACTGACACATCAACTGGTGCCTGTTTCCCTACAGCAGACAGATGTTGTAAATCATAGTGTAGCCAAGGGGTTGTCGGGTATTGTGTGAAGGCAATGCCCTTATACCCGAACTGAACGAACGTTCTGCCACCCCCCATGTTCTGTCATTTCACTTTCTCTTTTCTCTGAGCACATTTTGCAGTTTTTATTTGCTTTGGGCGTTTTGTGTGGTCGTTATTTCAAGCTCGTTCACTAGTTTCAAAGTGTTAGGTGGATGTATTCTACTATACTTAATAGATTAATATTTAATTGTGATATGTGGATAAATCAATTTATTTATTTATTGATAAAATATCACACTTTCTTAATTCCAATTAAATATTTGATTATAAACTCTTACAACAAAACATTTACAACATGACGGGTTTGATTACGCAAATTTGTATTTAAGTTATTCTCATCGGCGTTTTAAATTTGATTAGATAGGAAATTGACACATATCTACAGGACATCTTTTATATCAATCAAATTCACTAACCACTAAAATATCACGATAAATATTAGGATACGAGTCCCTGTCTAATACCTCAGATTCTTAGCGAAGCAGTTAAATTAATGATCAGTCACGCTTCACTTCTAACAACACGAATTCGAGGCGAGCGGGGAGCAGATGTGCAGTTCCGGCAAGTCACGTGGGCGCGGTTAGCATGGCTTAGCTGTCGGCTGTCTGTACATTGCGTCGTAACAGCAGACAGCACTATGTTTTCATTGCCCGCCACATCGTGGCAGCACCTACTGGTCGGTGATGTCAGCGCTATGATCGCCCCTTCCCGCCAGAGTGTGCTGATTGCTTGTTCACAACCAAATGCATGGGGCTTTCAATCTAGTAGTGTTATATAGTCAATGGTGCTAGTGAATTGACATTGAGACAGCGTTTAGATGCGCAGTAGTGCAGAATGTACTGCGCATGCACCTGCAGCCACTCCCCCTACCCAATGACCCGTGAACTATCGATTTTAGGCTGGTTCTAGGTCAGTTAGCTCCTCCCTCTCCCATTGTGCGGATCGCTGATTTTTATATAGAGTTGTGAAATTGTCAAACTTGTGATCTTCATTACTATATGGTTACGTGTTTTAATAAATACAGTAACTAAGTAAAATGAGTGCAAAACAAAAATGTGTTGTCCTATCGCTTATGGACAAGGTGGAAATAATAAACCAACTAAAAAAAGGAAAGGCACATAGTGAGGCGTTTATGTGCTTTGACAGCCCCCTCAAATAGATGAAGCGGCAACCAGAGTGTGACGGTGTAAAGCTTCTTGCCGTCCAGCGCCTGCGTGATCTAGCCGCATGGAAACAAGGCACAAGGTCACGACAACTTACGCTGGTCGAGATGTACAAGTAAGCGTTGTTAAAGAACTTTTTGAAAAGAACTTTATATTGTACTGTACTTTTGTTTTTATAAATATCAGTATTTCTTCCTCTACTGTACTTCAATTCAATTTAACAGCTCTATTGTTTCTGAGTTATCCACTCAATAAAGTTCATTCGTTGTGTAACACTTTGTTTTTCTTTATTGCCATTCTGTGTCTGATCCGAATTTTTTATTTTCCGAATCGACCCTGGTCCCAATTAATTCGGATAATCGGCGTTTTACTGTATTCTATTCTCTTAAAGTAATGTGTAATAAATATTTTAAATTGATTCATTAATTTTATGATAGACTATGATAAACATATAACACTAGTAATTCCAAGAGATTGCCATTATTTTTATGATGTTTAAATCAAATATTTAGAACTCGGATGTCTATTATTGAGTTTGCAAACATAGCAGACACATTCTAGATCCTAATGACTAATTCATCAAAGTCAAATTGAGAACAGTTTTTGTTTTATAACTGACCAAATTTTTACTCTTGATTGAATTATTTTTTTAATATAGTAGAACAAACTAAATCAGATTAATATAATGAATTTCTCGTCATTAGTAAATAGTTAACCTGAATTTAGTACAATAGAGTCCTGCTATTTCAAAACCCGCTATTACAAAAATCTGCTGTTCAAAACTAAAGTTTGGATATTATTACTTTTAAGTCATGTACAAAGCTAACATAAAATCATGAACATGCTGCAGTCACGGCGTAAACGGGAAAACCTCTGTAGTCAGTAGTCACAGAGACACCATCGTCTCCCATGATTGTGGCACAACCGTGAACATCAAAAACTAAAGCTCGTCGAGGTCACGGCAAAATTGTTAAAATCTTCTGAGGTTACAGCCAAACCGTGAATATATTCTGTGATCACCGTGATAAATATTCCTGCTAATCCAAACAGGATTCAGTTCCAGTTAGTTCGGAATAGTGGGACTCCACTCACCATTCCTGCTGTGTCCACATTAGCCCCAGCCCTCAACAGACACTCTGCTATATCAGCATTTCCCTTGCGGCAGGCCCAGACCAAGGCAGATGTTCCGTACTTGTCTCCAACATTCACCTGCAAAGGCAGTGTTTCAATACTTAGCATACATACATACTTTTTAGGATCTACATTTGTAAGGACAACATTTATTTATTTTTATACTAGAATATGAATACAAAGTAATAAAAGAAAATAAAGATGTATAACCTTAATGGTACATAATACACAGCAGAGCCGGGATGTATGCTGGGTTCCGGGATGGTAGCTTACTGGATGAGTACCTGGCTAGATGAAGAGGGCACACAACGACGCTTTCCGCTTACTTGCTTGTTACCAATCAATATGGAAGGACTTGATACAATTTTGTTGCCCAAAAGTAGTGATGGTCGGATCCGGATATCAGACTACCGGATCCGCCGGATTCGAGCTAGAACCGGCACCCGATCGGATCCAAAAACTTCCGGATCTTGGGCTGGATCCGTTTTTGATGGATCCGATTTTTTCCAATTTTTTCCGATTTTTTCCAATTTTTTCACAATTTTTTTACTAACACAAAGCTGTATGTATCCATGTACAAGACCGAGTTTTCCCCAATTTGTTTACTAACACAAAGCTGTCTGTATCCATGTACAAGACCGATTTTTCCCCGAGTGTTTGTCTCTCGATGCAAATAACTTATATGGCAAGGCCATGTCTCAGTGTTTGACTCTTGATGCAAATAACTTATATGGCAAGGCCATGTCTCAGTGTTTGTCTCTTGATGCAAATAACGTATATGGCAAGGCCATGTCTCAGTGTTTGTCTCTTGATGCAAATAACTTATATGACAAGGCCATGTCTCAGTGTTTGTCTCTTGATGCAAATAACTTATATGGTAAGGCCATGTCTCAGTGTTTGTCTCTTGATGCAAATAACTTATATTGCAAGGCCATGTCTCTTTTTGAACCGAATCCGACCTGATTTTTCGGATATCTGCACACCTCTAGTTTTTAGTTTTGTACCTGGATGATTAGCTAACGGCCAATAATCTCATCTCAAAAATATCCCATTAGTATTTTAATCCTGGCCGATGCTTCGAGATAAAATAAATTAGAAGTTTCGGGTCTTGCCCATCACTATAAAATATCCTGTGTATGTGTACAAGAAGATTATCTGTGTACATACAGGGTGAATAAAAAGTCAAGACTCCCCCATCTAATATTTTTCTAAGTTAGAACACAGTATAGACTTCTTGTACACAGACACAGGGTATTTTACCTGTAGAACTTCACATACCCGGCTATCAGTACTGTGAACCTGGAACGAGTTTAAGGAAGAGATTAACAATTTTTTTTCTGTACTTTTTCTTTTCAAAGAGTCAGATTCTTGAGCTACCTGACATTCGAGCAAATGTGAGTACATAAGCCTTTTTTGCGTGCTGTGTTTGCTTGGTTTTTCTTAGGTTAAGTTTTTGCATAATGATTGTATATATTGACAATTGTATTTTTTTTTGACGATGCCCATTGCATTTTGTACAATGCTTAAAGGAAAATAAATTAATTTCATTTAATTTCATTTAATTTCATTTCATTTCAAGAGGTGATCTAGGCATAAATAAATTGGATGCTGCATGCAAAAGCCACGATATAGCATACTCAAGATCAAACAATAGTAAAATATACACCGATACCCTTTTGGTGATCGTGCAAACTTAGTACAATGTTTCATTTTATGATTTTGAAAAGTTTTAGTGCCCCCAAAAAATGAGGGATTATGGGCTCAACTGGAGATTACTCTATTTTTTTAATATATTAACCTTTAAACATTACCAATTTAATTTTAAACAGTATGATTTAAATTTAAATTGGCATTCTGATAATTACGTTTTTTTTACCCGCCCTGTATGTATCTGGATCCGTTTTAATATGGCTCTAACACTGGAAATTTTAAGCTAGGATTACCTCATCTTGTAAATAAATAAGCTAACACATCTCTAATCTTGACATAACCTTTCAGTTACACTAAAATTCACAAACAAAACTTCACTGTAAAGTGATACAACTGGTTTGGACAATACAGTCACATGAAAATTGCTTTAGATAGACTGAAAAAAAAACTATATCTCATACTGCTTGTACTAGCATACGGTACTGGAGAGTAGTGTGAGTGGTGTACCTTGGCGCCACGGCGCACCAGCATGCGCACGATGTCTACATGGCCACGGCCTGACGCCCACAGCAGGGAGGAGATGTGGTAGTTGCCATGAGCATTAACATCTGCATTACGTTCCAGTAGCAGCTGCACAGTGTCTGTGTGACCCTTGTATGTCGCCCACATCAGGGCCGACCACCCTCCCTATGACAAAACCATCTTGGTCAATAAAGAAAACCCTTTTACATCTTATGTCATTTGAGTGGTATCAATGACTTTTGAATACTAGAATATGCATCCCATCTATACGGACCAGCTGGAGCCAATTTGTTGTAAAAATAATAAAGTTTTTGAATGAGCCACGCACATATCAATTATCAATTATCAATCATTGAGATGGGGACGCACCCTAGGTGCGTATTTTAACCCAAATATGAGTGAAGGATGAGTGTAGAATGGTGTGTGATGACCTTTGTAGCTTTGTTACTGACTAAGATCAGCGGTTTCATTAGTCAGGAGCATTCATTTAAAGCCCAATGATCAGGAACAGCTGGGTCCAGTTTCGAACCATCAAAAAGCTACTGACTTTTCTCAGGATCGAACTGGCGACCTTTTGATTACCAGGCGAGCACTATAACCACTCAGCTACCCAGCCAGTCAATAGAAGGCTACAGTCAAAATGTATATCTCTCGCTTACTGTTTCATGAAAGTTGGTGTAACATAACATATGCTATAGTTAACAACAAGTTTGGCTTGATTACCAACGTTATTTGACACCCGTTCACTCTGTCAGTGGCTACACACCAGCTAATCCGAACCTCGCTTATCTAAACCCTGTATAGGGTGTGTAATCTGTATGAATTAAATTCACCACTATATGAACAAATATTTGATAATGATTTATTTACAAACGAATAAAGAAGTGTACTAATTCATAACATAGTCAAAACTAACTATTTTTCAACAAAACTAGCAACAGCTGTTCATAATAAATATGAAACAAAGTATAGACCAAAGGCACAGCTGTGGCTAAGTCAACGCCACACCTGCTAAACGGAACCTCTGGTTTATCAGATCCACCTATTAGGGGGGAAAAAGTACTCTATTGCAATAAATAGTTTTTCCCCTAAATGAGTAATTTGCTAATACCCTTGCTGCAGCAAACCAACAGATAAAGCGAATTTGTATTTTCCTGGTTGGATTATCACTAACATATTTCCTAAAAATTATCTGATCTACGTCCTATTTAAGGAACATTAAGTTAAATTAGTCCATAGGTTTACTCCTATGGAGATAATAGTAAAGTGTGTTTTTAGTAAAACGTAAATAGCTTATTATGAAATAAATAAATTTGCTATAATTGATCAAAATATATCCATAAACAAGCAAGACTTTATTCCCAATAAAAATAACATAAACATTTTCAATTTACAGTTTTTTTTTATTTTCTCCATAACCATTAGACATACAACAGCGCTTTAACATACTAAATTATTTGTTTTTTAAGCTCTAGAAAACGGTTTGGGAAGAAGTTGCAAAATTTTATGTTTCAGGGGTTAAAAATTAGAAAAACAAAAACAAACTCTATAACACCCCATTCTTATAGTCCGATCATGCTGGTTTGCGAACTCATTCGAATAAATATAGATTTACACATTTATTTGTACCAAGTTATCGTAACATATGCAACATTTTCAGGGATTTCAATATTTTTGATTGTGACTTAAAGGTATTTAAATTCTGCATCAATGATTTCCTATTCAGTTTAAATATCGACGAGGCCGATTCTATTATCACGGCGGACTAACGGCGCACTTGATCCGACTATTGCACTGTCTGACCTTGGCACTTTTTTTGGACTGTCCGCAGTCGACTACTCTCCACTCCACTCCACTCTTTACCAAGAACACTCTTTACAAGAAACAATAAAAAGATAAGGTTGTAAAGTCACCGATTAAAAATGTTTTAGAAAAAGCCAAATTATATAGGATCTAAATTTTTAAACAAAATTTCTACCATAATAGACACAAATCAAGAGTTTTCAAAATTTAAGAGACAATTAAAAGAACACCTAGTTGAGAGAGCATTATACTCACTAGATGAGTTTTTAAATAACTAACGGCCTTAAATTTAATATTTGCCAACAGAAATGATGGTGTTTTTAACATCATTGTACGTATTGACAGAAATTGTATTATAAGGATTAGTTTTAAGAAGTGACGCATGTTCAATGTACTTACGCTACAAAACAATGAATAAAGAATGTTTTGACTTTGAATTTGACTACCCTACAAACCACTCATCACTCTCCACTCCCTTCACTACCCCCATTACACACGAAACTCACACACACAGTCTCTCTTCCTCTCTCTCTCTCCTGGCCACCACGAAAATCTATAAAGCGCTAGCTTACCAGCACTGTGTTCATGGAAATACATTTACTTAAATAACTAATAATAATAACGACCTATTGTCTTTTTTAATTGCCATTCCAAAAATTCAATAATTTTCTTTTTTTTCTATTTGACAGCAACTTAGCAGACGCACAGATAGCACTGCCTATGTCTGCTAGTTCCTTTGTTTTATTGTTATATATTTTGGCTTATTAAAACTCGTATGTATTTTTAGTGACAAAAGTCTCTGTCTAATATACTGTATTTTATTTTATAATCACAGTTTGTAGCCAATGTTTTTTGGAATAAACTATATAAACTATATTTCATTCTTTCATTCATTCATTCATTCACCAAACTTCATCAAAACCAGATGATTTTTACTTGAGTTATTGTCCTAACGGACACACATATATCTATACTAATGCGAGGACTATCCAGAAAGTAGATTACGTTTTTGTCTGTATCCACAAGGGGCGGGGCTATGTTGGTGTCAGTTCGTTACACAGCTCAGATGCCAAAGTCCGTAAAATTCATAATTCACAATAACGGAACTCTATATGAATTTTCTACAGTTTTTTTTAAGTTTGTTTCACAAGATCATTACTGAAAAGCTTGTTTACCACAAGTTTTGTGCAAGATGTGTACCGAAAGTGTTGACAGAGAGTCACAAAAATCAGCGAATGGTTGCAGCTCTAACGTTTCTGGATGCTTACGATGAAGATGGTGACTCACTACTCAATTACATTGTTACTGGTGACGAAACATGAATCAAACATGTGAACTGTGTGGCGAAACTACAGTCAATGCAATGGGGGCACACAAATTCTCTCCAACCCAAGAAATGCATGCAAATGATGTCGGCAAGGAAGGTGATGGCAACTGTTTTTTGGGATAGGAAAGGTGTAACTTTTGTGGACTTCCTGGAAAGAGGCACTACAATAACTCTCAAAGGTATTGCCAACCTCTGCAAAACCTGAGAAGAATGATAAACAAGCGCAGGGAAAAGTTAAGCTGAAAGATCCTGCTGATTCACGACAATGCCCTTCCCCACACGGCAAATGTCACTTGTGAAGTTCTTGAAGTGAGAGTTATTTCCTCATCCGCCGTACAGTCCTGACCTGTCACCGAGCGACTTTCACTTATTCCTAGCAATGAAAAATTGGAATGCCTGGGTCGTCTTCATCTGAACTGCTATGCGTTGCAACATCTGGAGGCCTCTCTAATGCCATGGTTTGATTTTCCTCAGATCGTTGAGACACTAGACCGCCTGAAGGTCCAGGTAAATTTATATCAAAACCTATAGGCCTACGCCGACGATCCATGTTCAGAGATAACAGGGATTCTAAACGAGTTTGTTGCGGATCCGGGTCATACGACGGATCTTCATCTATATCATCCACAATATCTTCAGAGTCGGAAGACGATATATCGTCAAGAAGGGAATCACGGTCTTAATTGTCACTAAGTACATCGTATCCACTCGCAACTATCTGGTTCACAAGTGTATTTTCACTTAAGGGCGAACCGGGGCACCTTTTGTTACTCATTCTAAAACTAGCACAATATAAAAATTACCATAAAACTTTGTTATAACTAACAAAAGGCGAAATAACAACATCACTGACCACATACAGCAGTAAACAGTAAGACAATGACATGTAACGAGTTATTTTTCCTAGGGGGGTATATTTTCGTTATTTGGGCCGCGCGTCTGTTGAGGTAAGCAAGCGGCGGCGGCGAACCTGGCTAGCGCCCTTTGACCCGGCTTATCAGTTCGGATAAGCTTGGGTATCCGGGGACTACTGGATAGCCGAGGAGGACATTCTAGTGGTGGATCCCAGACAGTGAAGAAGGCAGTGTTGGTGTCCTGTGGAGACGGCTGGCGTACGTTGGAGGTACAGAGTGTACGAGGTGTGACAGTGAGTGTCGGTGTTAGGTTGGGTGTTGAGACCCACTACTGGTGAGTGGGCGACGTTCTTTTGATTTTGGTTAAGGAGCTGATATTATTAATATCTGATTTTATTGCGAGAGTTAGAGTTGTAACCGTGCTGGTCAAAGCCTGACGGTACTTAGGATTTTTAATAGTCAGGAATAATATTAAAGTATATTCCTGACGGTTCTGGGCAGGTGCTAAAGCGCAAATAATCTATTTTATTGACTGTAGTAGATATTATTTTGCGTTGTACCAAGAGTTAGTTATAATACTAATAACTGTGAGGCCCGACAAACCTAGGCTGCACGATTTAGCGTGCGTAGTTGGAAGCACGTGGCCAGTAGGCTAGTAGCTAATATTATTAGCCTATTAACAGAAGCCCAGCTAACTAATAGCTATTAAGTAGGTAGTAGCAGTAGCAGTAGCAGTAGTAAGGTTGTTGTTGATTAATCATTTGATTAACTTAATTTAACCTGAACAGCTTGTTTAGTAATCCAACACGTTATCTCGGTAGCTTGGGTAGCGGAGTACCGGCTATCAGATAATATATTTATCTAGTGTTTGGAACGTATTTAATATTTATTTATCTGCTACTAAGTAACTCAATAATTTGATAGTAGTGCAATTGGCATTTAGCTTTGCTTGTTTGGCTTGGTATTTATTGAGACCAGCTACTAGAGGTGTAGTCACTCTGCCGTTAGTGCACTTGTATTATTATATGGTATTATTATTGAGTAAACTGGTTGATTCTTAGCTTGGGCATTAGAGTTGTGTATTGGATTATAGTGGCCTAGGTGATAACGGGCGTTGTGGTTTTTATTGGCAAGTCGTCGTGTAACTCACTGTGTTTTAGGCACTCTGGGCTTAACTATTG